TATGTTAACAGATAACATCTCTGAAGACCCTATTTCCAACAAGATCACATCACAGGTAACTGGGGGTTAGGACTTCAGCATACCTTTCCAGAAAACACAAAATCAACCCATAACATTAGGGTAAATCTGCTTTGCAATAGGCCCCAGAACATGAAAGGACCATAAAACAAAACCCATTATCGTTGAGTCCATAGCGACCCTACAGGACAAAGTAGGGCTGCTCTGTAAGGTTTCCAAGGCTGTATGTCTTAATGGGAGCAGACAGCCTCCTCTGTCTCCTATGGAGTGGCTAATGGGTTTGAACTGCCAAACCTTTCATTTAGCACCGGATGCTTAACGCACTGTGCTATCAGGCTCCATTTCATCCTTAAAGGAAATTTTTGTGGAAAAGTTTCAGAAGCACTCTCTCAGGAGAGGGAAGGATCTCTGCCCTAAGTGTTAGTAACCAGTCTCTTCACCGGGTGATAACTCAGTAACCTGAAAAATGAAGAGAGGAGAGACAGCTCTTTTCCATGGCTTTGGGCTTGGGAGCACAAACCGGCAGGGTCCTGGACATGTCGGGCGCATGGAGAACAGCTAAACCATCGGGCACCAAGGCCAGGGGCTGAGTAGATGAACCCCATACCAGATACACTGAGCTGGGTAAGCCTCCCAGGAGAAACACTCCCCCAAGCCAGAGTCTATATTATATGTGTTCAATCATAACAGAGTTGCCCATGCCATCTCCCTTCTTGAGTCTCCCCAGGAGACAAAGTTCTGTCTATATGGTTCTGACCATCTTACCCATAGTTGTTATTAAGTGCTATCTGAGTTGGTTCTGACTCATAGTGACTCTGTGTAGAGTTTCCAATGAGCCGTTGGTAGGTTTGAATCACATCTTTGTGGTTAGCAGTTCAGTGCCTATTCTATACCTCGACACCAGGAAGCCGTCTTATCCATGGACTGATGCAAATGTTTCACTTTTGAAGCCTTGAGAACCTGGTTGTTGTTGTTGTTCAGTGCCGTCGAGTCGTAGGTAGATAGAAATTGGGGTCTGCCCTACCCTCAGAGAAGCCCTTTGGTACTGTGGGTTAGGCATTGAGCTTTTAGCATCAAGGTCAGCTGTTCAAACTCACCAGCCACTCCATGGGAGAAAGATGAGGTTGTCTGCTCCCATCAAGATTTATAGTCTCAGAATTGACTCGATGGCAGTGGTGTTTTTTGGCTCTCCCCTCAAGGAGCCCTGGTGGTACAATGGTTAAGCCCTCAGCTGCTAACCGGAAGGAAGCCCTGTCGGACAGTTCTACAACATCCACAGGATGGCTATGAATTAGAATCAATTCAGTGTCACACAACAACAGCCCTTTCCTCTGTTCATAAGTATAGTACTCATCAGTGGGTATCCATGAGCACCTAAATGTTCATTCTTTGCAGTTGAACCCTGAACTTGCTTGCGAAGAGTCTATATCAGTTCTTATCAAACTTTGCTGCTTATTAGAATTGCAAAATCTCCATTGCGAGGCTGCCCCAGGTCAATTAAATCAGAATCAGGCTGCCTATGCCCAGACGGCTCCACGTGTACTCTCTTGGATAGGAGTAGCTCAGTGATCCCTGGGTCCTGTGGCTTGCTGGCTGATGGGTTGGCCTACTTTGGGAGGTGATTCATTCTATCCATGGGTCAGAGCTCATGTGCAAGATCCTGTGTGGGCAACAGCCATCCGGACCTGCGTGCTAGCATTCCACAGACACACAGGGAGAGCTCCTCCCCAGGCACCTAGAAGGCCAGGCCCGAGCAGCTTGAGGTCAGGCTGCTGCCTTCTGCGTCAGGCTTGGAAGGTGGGAGTGCCTGTGGCTGCTTACATCACTTCCCCAGGTTTGTGGTGGAGAAGAGAGACAATACACGGGTTTATCTGTGGCAGGAAAGCAGAACAGGAAGAAGACAAGGCATTGGGCTACAGCAACTGTGACGCTTGGCTGTGTGCAAGCTAGCGGTGGTGCCACTCTGAACTCTAGTTTATTAATCTGTGAATCAGGACTACATGCATCGTATATGAGAAAAGGCACGATGGTACCCACCCCAGTGCTGGTGTTATCAGGATCCCTAGGAATTGTACAGAAAGGGGCCAGGAAGTCAGTGTGATGATGAAGATGGACAGAGGACTGAGGTTGACCTCTGTACTGGCTGCTGGGGTGTTGGGATTGAGGGCCACCCACCAACCCAGCCACCTCGTTACCTCCTCCTCTTGGCAGTGGAACTTGACCTTTCATCCACTCTGTGGGATGGAAAAGTGAGTGGTAAAAGTGATGGCGTGTTATTGGTATTACATGCCTCCCTACCAAGGGCTTGTTGAAGGGACGAAGGAGGGGACAGACCCCGCTGTGGTTGCCCTTTTGTGTTCTACTATATGTGATACCGTCAGATTCCCCTACAAGCCCAGACACCCACAGGACGGTATCTGAGCGTCAGCACAGAGAACACAGGCCTCACACCCTCTTGTCTGTGTGGGTTACACAGGAGTCCCTGAGTCTCAATGTCCCTGTTTGTCAAAGGAGAATCCTGAGCTGCCCTGAGTCTGCTAGAGTTTCTAATATCAGACAAATTCTGGGTGGGTTCTGACCAACAGTACCACCCAACTGGCATATGTACTCCCAAATACATCATACAGGACGACATGAAAACCAAACCAGGGAGTGAGTGGCAATGTGCCAGAAAGCCTGGGAGTTAGCACACAGAGTTACTTAGACCTCATCAGACACTCCGGAATTCCCTCCCATGTGAAAGACATTGACCTGTACACCTTCCTTCTTCCCTGATCCTTCCCTGGGGCATGCAAAGAATGAATCCTGATGCCATAGAAAGAAGTCAACATACCAACATGCCCACTAACAGGAGAATGCATGCACAAACTGGTACATCCCTACAGTGCAGTAAAAAGAAGTGAGTTAGCAAACTACTAAAAGACACGTTGCTAAGTGAGAAAAGTCTGTCCTGGAAATGTTACATATGATTCCAACTATATAATGTTCTCTAGAAGGCGATACTACAGAAAAAAGGAGCAGTGACTACCAGTGTTTTGGAAGGTGGGATGAAGTGATGATTAGGTGAAGTCCAGGGCATCTTCAGGGCAGAGAAACAACACTGTATGATGTGATGATGCACACAGGACATCTGAATTTGTCAAAACCCACAGGATCGTACAAGACAAAGAGTGGAACCTAATATAAGCTATGTTGTTGTTAATCGCTGAGTTGATTCTGACCTATAATGATCCTGTATAGGGTTTCTGAGGAGCAGCTGGTGAACTTGAACCACCAACTTTGCAGTTCAAACTGACCTTGTGGATGAGTGCTCATCCTACAGTGCCATACCAGAACTCCCAATATAAGCTATGGACTTTAGTTAATAACAACACATCAATATTGGTCTATCGATAGAAACAGGAATGCAAGATGATAGTAATTGCGGAAATTGTACTTGGGGGACAGGAGGTATGTAGGAACTCTGGACTTTGGCATAGATTTTCTGTAAACCTAAAGCTGCTCCAAAAAATAGTCTGTTTACAAAAACAAAGCATATAAAAACAACAATAGGCCAGACTTGGAATCTCGTTTTACATACTGACTGTAGGACTTTAGACAAGTTATAAAACCCTTCTTAGCCTCGATTGTCTCACCTATAAAATGGGTATGATAAACTATAGCTTGTAGAATTTTTGTTGGTGACGATTAAATGAGATATACTGTATGCTAGGTACCTGCACAGAGGAGGTGCTAAGTAAATGTTGGTTGTTCCTATGTCCCAGTAAACAAATCCCCACTGAATAAATTCTGACTCGTGCCTGTTGTTGTTGTTATGTACCGTGGAGTCACTTCCCACTCAGCAACCCTGTACAGGGTTTCCAAGGCTGTAAATCTTTACGGGAGCAGAAATCCTCTTCTTTCTCCTGCAGAACAGCTGGTAGTCTTGAACTGCTGACCCTGCGGTTCGCAGCCCAATTCATAACCACTATGCTACAAGAACTCCCTCCTACTACCTACCTACCTACCTACCTACCTGCCTACCTACTCATGCCTACGTACCTACCTACTCATGCCTACCTCCTATGTATTATAGAGTGGCTCCATAGGGTTTTCTTAGCTGTAATCCTTACAAAAGTAGATCACCACAGCACTGCTGGGTGGGTTCAAACCATCAACCTTTAGGATAGTAACCCATTGCAAATCACTTGTGCCACCCAGGGACCTTACATGTCTCAGTAGAGAATCAACTGATAACAGTGATCAATCTCCTTGATTGATCCTTGATTATTGTAAAGAGCTGTAACCCTCCACTCCAATTCACTCATTCATTTGATTAACTTATGTTTAACTTTATATTTACCAGGGCAGTGGCGTAGTGGGGCTGGAACTGTGCCCTTTGCCCTCTGGGTCTGGAAGAATCCTTGTCATTCCTGTCAGTATATGCTGAGATTATAGACACCTACCCCCCCTAGCTGGACTTCAGGAAGCCAACAGCCCTGCTGACTGCAGATTCAGAGTCAGTGCCGGTGCCAGGAAACTTCAATTGGTCTCAAAACCCCTAGATATAATTCCCATTTCACAGGTGAGAAGACTGAGGCTTAAGTTACCCTCCCAAGAGTGGTAGGCTTAGGAAGTGGTGCCGGTGAGGTTGGGTTTCAGTGGTCTCACTCTGAACCTATGTGGTTCCTTTCTCTGTGTAGAACTCGTGCTCATTTCCCAAGCAGAGAGGCCTCTAGTTGCTCTGGTGGTGGTGGCCTAACAGAGGTCTCATGGTGCAGTGGGTTAAGCATTGGGCTGCTAACAAAACGGTTGGTGGTTCGAACCCACTATCCACACCTTGGGAGAAAGGCAGTCTTTGAGAGCAGTTACACTATGCTGTTATGTCTCACAGTGGCACTATGAGTTGACTCAAGGGCAACAGGCTTGGTTTGGTTTGGTTGGTTGTCCTTCTTAGCCTGAGAACCACTGTGCACCCATCTCCACTTCGATGTCTGTTGCAGAATGTCAGTAAACCTGCAGAGGAGCCCGAGCGAGCGCCCACGCTGCAGGAGATCAAACAGAAGATTGAGAGCTACAACAGCCGGGAGAAGAACTGCCTGGGCATGAAGCTGGTGAGCATGGCACCCCTCGCACCCACACACCCTTTCTGCTTTGGCTCCTCTGCTCCCCCTCCAGATTCTTCCTCCTTCTGGAACTCGGGGGCCAGGGAAGGCTGACAGCCTTGGGCTGCAGGAGTTCTAGGGAGGTAGACTGGGCTACTTTAGTGTAGGCTCAGAATCCAATTTCTGGATCTTTGACTTTTTTTGCTTGTGACTTAGGGAAACTTTCTCTATTCCTCTGAGCTTTATTTAATATAAAAGATTTTCATATCCATCTGTCCTGCTTCTTGGAGAAATTGAATGACACACAATGACCGGGAGCCTGGTATGGAAGCCCCTCTTGGGGTTTTTTGTGCAATTCCTGTGACTCTGTCTGCGGAGGCTTCCTCAGATTGTGCCACTGTTGGAGATGGGGTTGCAACCAACTTTGTGCCAGGTCCCAAAAGGCTGGCTTCAAATGGAGGTAGAGATGGTAGAAGATCTCTGCCCCCTGCTGGTGGCTGGTGACAACTTGCTCTTTGGAGTTTCAGTCTGGTAAACCCGGGCCATGGTATCAAACATGATTCACAGAGGCCATGTGTTACAGGGTAGACTGCTCTTTACCAAAGCAGACCTCCAGATCTTTCTTCCATGGTGCCACTGGGTGGGGTTGAAACAGCCAACCCTGAGTTCATAGTTGAGTGTAGACATTCCTGTCATCCAGTGACCTAGGTCCAAATGAAACCTCCTGCCGTGAGTCTTTTCCGATTCCTAGCAACTCTATAGGACAGAGTAGAACTGCCCCACTGGGCTTCTGAGACTGTAAAGCATTATGGGAGCAGACAGCCTTATCTTTTTTCCGTGGAGCAGCTGGTGGCTTCAAACCACCAACCTTTCAGTTAGCAACCCGATACTTAACCCACTGTGCCACTAGAGTTTTCTATATGACTCATGTAGGGATAAGCACTCAACCTCAAGGTTGGTTTGAACCTCAAGATCGGCAGTTCAAACTCACCAGCCCCTCTTCAGAAATCCTATACAGGGTCAGCACTTAACAATAACAGATACGGTGCCAGACAATCCAGTAGCAAATGGCGCTGGGTTTAAGTCTCACTGACAATGGGCTCTTTGGAAGGAGCTGCTCCAAGAACTGTATGAGGGAGCATCAGTACTCCTGTCTAGAGAAGGCCTCTGGGCAGGGGAGCCAATAGAAAGGTTTTGTTTGGAGGTGTGCACTAACGAGGCCATGCTCCAGGCCCTGTCAAAGTGACCACTCACCAAGGGCAGTTGACATCGGTCTGCTGACAGGTTTGGGGCAGGAGTCTGAGCCTCTTGGAGGAAAAGCCATGGCGGGCTCTAGAAATCCTCTCTGGTTACTGGGTACTATAAGTCTTCTCCTGGCCCTCTAGGGGGAAAGGTGACCCCGCCTTCTCCTGAATCAGAAGAGGCAGGAAGGAACTCAGGGAGGCAGGTAGGGAGACAGTGGGTACAGAGGAGGGGCTTCCTGGGCTGGCAGGCTACATTAGGAAAGCCCTCAGACAGCCCCAAGGGCGATAGCACAGGCTGGTAGCTATGATCCCACTCGATGGTCCCGCCCCTGTGTGACCCCTCCCCCCCCCCCACCCCCACAGAGCGATGACGGCACCTACACGGGTTTCATCAAAGTGCATTTGAAGCTGCGGCGACCAGTTACAGTGCCAGCCGGGATCCGGCCCCAGTCCATATATGACGCCATCAAGGAAGTGAATTTGGCGGCCACCACGGACAAGCGGACATCCTTCTACTTGCCCCTCGATGCCATCAAGCAGCTGCATATCAGCAGCACCACCACGGTCAATGAGGTCATCCAGGGGCTGCTCAAGAAGTTCATGGTTGTGGACAATCCCCAGAAGTTTGCACTTTTTAAGCAGATACACAAGGATGGGCAAGGTATGAGAGCAAGCTCCCATCCACGAGCTCCCTTCCTAACCTGTCACTGCCCCCTGCCTTGGATGGGAAGAGTGGGTTCTCCCATGGCCAGGAGGCCTGCCGTCCATCTGCAGTCTCTGAGCAGAGACAAGAGCAGAGGACTGGGCAGGGCCGCTCCTAATCCCATGTGGGACTTCAGGAAACCACACCATGGGTGCCCACTTCCTAATCAGTGTAATGGGGAGAATCCACCCTGCCACTCCTAATCTAACGGGAGATTATTTGAGCGGAAGCAGACACCCATGGTAAAAGGACATTACTGGACGTATGCTTGTCAGGGTTACTTCACTAGGTTGAAAGGATAGCCACTTCCGGTGATAGCCATTCCAAAATCAGCTTCTCCAATTCCATCCCACCCATCCTGAGCCCCTGGCCTTCTTTCCCAAGATGAGCTCCCGGCCCCCTCTCTTGGTTTGCAGTGCTCTTCCAAAAACTCTCTGTGGCCGACTGCCCCCTTCACCTGCGCTTACTTGCTGGCCCCGACACCGATGTCCTCAGCTTTGTGCTGAAAGAGAATGAAACTGGAGAGGTGGAGGTAAGCCTGGGACCCTTTGCTTGTTACACAAGCCCGGCCCTCAGGGCACATGGGGGAGGGTGAAGCTGGGTGCCCGCTTGACCACCTGGCACCCTCGCGAGGTCAGGTGGCAGCAGCTAGGAGATGATTCTGACAAGGTTGAGTTGGAGTGAGCCAAGACTGTAAGCACCCTAGGGTGGCAAATCAGGGCCTGTCTGTCCAGGCCTGTGGAAAGAGGGGTTTTATGGTCTGCAGTTCAAATCCATCAGCTGCTCTAGGAACCCTATACAGGGTTGTTATGAGTCAGAACCGCCCCCCACAGCACTTAACAACAACAAACAACATCATTCTCTCCCTGGTTCTGATGCCTAGCCTCCTTGTTTCAGGGTAACCAAACCAGCATCCAGTCTTGTGGTACGTTGTTGTTGTTGTTAGGTGCCATTGAGTCAGTTCCAACTCACTTCAACCTTATGCACAACAGAACAAAACACTGCCCAGTCCTACACCATTCTCACAATCGTTGCTATACTTGAGCCCATTGCTGCTGCCACTGTGCCAATCCATTTGTTGGGGGTCTTCCTCTTTTTCGTTGACCCTTCACTTTACCAAGCATGATGTTCTTCTCTAAGGACTGGTCCTTCCTGATAATATGGCCAAAGTGTGTGGGAAAAACTCTGGCCATCCTAGCTTTTAATGAGCATTCTGGTTATACTTCTTTCAACACAGATTTGTTTGTTCTTCTGGTAGTCCATGATACTTTCAATAGTCTCCTCCAACATCATAATTCAAATGCATCAATTCTTTTACCATCTTCCTTATTCATAGTCCAACTTTCACTTGCATATGAGACAACTGAAAATACCATGGCTTGGGTCAGGTGTACCTTAAACTAACATCTTTGCTCTTGAACCCTTTAAAGAGGTCTTGTGCAGTAGATTTGTCTTGTGGTATAAACTACAGTAAAAGCAGGCCTGTGGAGTTGAGACATGGCCGAAAGCAGGGTGGGGTCCTGATCAAGGTGCCGTGGCCCAGCACTGGTCACACTATTCTTAGTGAGGCTAGCATGGGGACTTGGGGAAATCTAGGCAGATGATACTCAGGGAGGAAGTCCAAGGTTCATTGAAGGAATTGGCAAAGAACAAGGCACCAGGAATTGATGGAATCAAAATTGAAATCTTTCAAGAAAGTGAGGCGCCACAGGAGGCACTCACTCATCTCTGCCAAGAAATTTGGAAGACAACTATCTGTCCGACTGATTGGAAGAGATCCATATTTGTGCCCATTCCAAAGAGAGGTGACCCAACAGAATGCGGAAATCATTGGACAATCTCTTTGATATCTCAAGCTAGTAATGTTTTGCTAAAGGTAATTCAAAAACGGCTACAATTGTACATTGACAGAGAACTTCCACAGGTTCAAGCCAGATTCAGAAGAGGCCGTGGAACAAGAGATGTCATTGCTGATGTCCGATGGATCTTGGCTGAAAACAGAGAATATCAGAAAGATGTTTACCTGTGCTTTATTGACTATGCAGAGGCTTTTGATTGTGTGGATCATGACAAGTTATGGACAACATTGCGAAGTATGAGAATTCCAGAACACTTAATTGTACTCATGAGGAATCTGTACCTGGACCAAGAAGCAGTTGTTCGAACAGAACATGGGAACACTGAATGTTTTAAAATTAAGAAAGGTGTGAATTCTTTCACCATACTTATTCAACCTGTATGCTGAGCAAATAATCCGAGAATCTGGGTTATATGAAGAAAGACGTGGCATCAGGATTGGAGGAAGACTCATTAACAACCTGCGATATGCAGATGATACAGCCTTCCTTGCTGAAAGTGAAGAGGACTTAAAACATTTACTGATGAAGACCAAAGAGCACAGCCTTTGGTATGGATTACATCTCAATGTAAAGAAAACAAAAATCCTCACCACTGGACCAATAAACAACATTCTTATCAGCGGAAAAAAGATTGAAGTTGTCAAGGACTTTATTCTTCTTGGATCAACTATCAACACTCATGGAAGCAGCAGTCAAGAGATCAGATGACGTATTGCATTAGGCAGATCTGCTGCACAGGAACTTTTTTAAGGTGTTGAAGAGCAAAGATGTCAGCTTGAGGACTAAGGTGTGCCTGACCCAAGCCATGGTATTTTCAATAACCTTATACGCATGTGAAAGCTGGACTGTGTATAAGGAAGACTGTAGAAGAATTGATGCCTTTGAATTATGGTGTTGGAGGAGAATACTAAAAGTGCCATGGGCTGCGCCGAAAGAACCAATAGATCTGTTTTGGAAGAAGTGCAGCCAGAGAGTGCTCCTTAGAGGCCATGATGGCCAAACTTTGTCTCTCATACTGTGGACATATTGTCAGAAGGGACCAGTTGCTGGAGTAGGATATCATGTTTGGTAAGATGGAGGGTCAGAGAAAAAGAAGAAGACCCCCAATGAGATGGATTGGCTGGGTGGCAGCATCGATGGACTCAAGCGTGGCAACAGTAGTGAGGTTGGCCCAGGATTGGACATTGTTTTGTTCTGCTGTGCATAAGGCCGCTATGAGTCAGTGCCGACTCGATGGCAGCTAACAACAACAACAAGGCAGGTGGGGGGCTGCCCAACTCTCCACTTCAGTAAGGTCAGCTCTGTTTCTACCTGCTTTTTCCCTGAGTGTTTTGAAACCCCCTCATATACTGGAGCCTTTGGAAGATTGTTTGGAACAATTAATTATTCCAGTAAATGTATTTGAGCACAGTCGGCTAGGTGGAAGCCCATGGCCCAGGTTGTAGTCTAGTTCTGCTATCACAGCTGTAAGCATGAACCACCTTCCCTCTGTGGGATTACACCTGGTCAACCTAAGTACTCCTAGCTGCTCGAAGAGTTTAGGAATCTGAACTGAGTTTAGGAGTCTGGCCCTGAGTCCACAGGGCCTTCAGCTTCTGGATCAGCCTGAGGGAAGGCTGATGCCCAGGAAAGTCAGGCTCTTCACCGCAGGCCTGAGCCAGGTAGGCTCTCCAGGGCTGTATCGCCCCTGCTGGCCATGGGACATGAATACATTAATTCCACAGTGGATGAGAAAACAAAGGCCAAGATGATGGTGTGATATGTTCAAGGTCACAGGTCTCCTGTGCCCAAGTCCAACGCTCTCCCACTTCTCCTTCAGGGTATGCATGTTGGGACCCTGGTGCTGATCACCCCAAAGCAGGCAACGGGGAGCAGGTTGGCCCAGACTCAGGGGGCTTACCATCTCAGCCACTACAAAGAACACTTACGATGCCATGAGATGCTAAGATTTCTGTTACTGAAATGACAGATCCATAAAACCTAAAGATCACACCTATTCAGTGTGGTGCTGTAGGATAAGCACTGGACTGCTAACTGCAAGGTTGGTGGTTGAAAACCCACCAGTCACTCCATGGGAGAAAGATGAGGCTGTCTGCTTCCATAAAGGTTTATTCTGGGAAACCCTGTGGAACAGTTCTTCCTGACCTGTAGGGTTACTTTGAGTTGGAACCAACTTGACTACAGTGGGTATTCAGTAGTCAGAGGAGTCCTGGTGGCACAACGTTTAAGCACTGCTGCTAACTGCAAGGTTGGTAGTTCCAACCCACCCAGCTGCTCCACATTAGAAAGATCTGGTGATCTGCTCCCATAGAGATCGCAGCCTAGAAAACCCTATGGAACAGTGGTACTCTGTCACATGGGATTGTAGCAAACTAGGAATCAGGGATGAAAGTGGGTGACGAGACAGCAGAGCCCTCAGGTGGTGCCGACTTCTGACCTGTCTCCTTTCCTGTTTCTCGCACTCACAGTGGGACGCCTTCTCCATCCCAGAGCTCCAGAACTTCCTAACGATACTGGAAAAAGAAGAGCAGGACAAAATCCAACAACTGCAAAAGAAGTATGACAAGTTTAGGCAGAAACTGGAGGAGGCCTTACGAGAATCCCAGGGCAAACCTGGGTAACCGGTCCTGGCATCCTCCCCTCCTGACGCCCTCAGAGTCATTTTTATTATTAATTATGATTTTACCATGGACACTTTTTCTCAGGACGCCTCTGACGGGTGTGCGTGCACTCATGCTGCAGCTCCAGATATGGCACGACATGGCTCCGGTGGACACAGCTGTCTGTGCAAGGTTCCCTCCATCCCGCCTGCCCCTCTCCACATTCCACAGGGATCCCTGCTCCTGTCAAAAGACCCACCCGCGTCCTCAGTCTGCAGACCTTTCACAAACCAAATAGTTGCCTCTCCTGTCACCAGACTGGAACCTGTCAGACCAAGTGGCAAAGGAAAGACAAAGGTTTTCACTGCCCACAATTAACCTTTATTTATGAGTCAAGAGTTGTAGCAGACTCCTCCTGTGGGTCTGAGCTTATCCCTGAAGGCAGGATTAAGCTCATAAAAGAATGGTTCTCTACTGCCCGGATGCCTGTTGTCCACACTTACGGGAAGGTCGGAAAGTCCCTGGCCCCAGATGCTCAGGACTTGAAGGAACACCAAAGCTGCAGCTGGCTCAGAGATTTCCAGAGAAGCTGCAGCCATGACCTGTGCCCATGTAAACCCAAAGGCCTCTTTTTCTGTTGGTATGGTACCTGTTCACATTTCTGTCAACCATCCATTTAAGCTACAAATTTGAACTCAGTATCGTCATCTTCTGCATGTTTCCCAACAAAGGGAGCCCCACCATTTACCATGTTGAGTAAGGAAATCAGGCAGTTATTGAAAGCCGAAAACCACCTCAAAGCTAAGTTCAGCTTCTCCGCAGCCAGGGAGGCCTTGGATTCCCTTGGCTCCAGCATGGCTTCCCTCCTCCTAAAGGTTCTGGATGCTCCCCATGCTGCCAGAAGAGTTGCCTTGATTCAGGAGGGGGAGCCTCCAACTCGCCAACATGTGATCCTTTCTGTTCAGAAGGCTGCCATGGCACTGCACTCAGCCTGGTCTGAGAAAGGAAAGAAAGAACCCATAGGCCTGGCCTCCTCTTTGACCTCAGTGCCTTTTTGTTTTCAGAGAGAGACACGAGCAGAGTGTGCTTGGTTGAAGCTCTGTAGCTAGCCTGCTCATGCCAGGAAGTGGACAGCCAGTGATGTGGGGGACAAGACCAGGAGGGCTCTCATCCCAGATGGATGAGGCTCACAGACCGCCTTCCCATCCATGTTCCTGGACTTTAACTTCTAAGAAATGCAAGTCAGACCAGTGTTGACAGGGCGCTTCAATTCCTGACCGTGCAGTTGTACTGGCTCCTTCTTTAGGCTGAAACTTACAAGTTCATGAACCATTCACACCAAAAGCTAAGACTGCAAGGACACACCAAAGCAGAGCAGGCTTTCCTTTTTCAAAGTGGGGCATTTTCCAGTCCACCCTCTGAGAGACCACATCTTTGCCTTGTCCTCTGCCTTCCCCAATCCTTCTTGGGTTGGCTGAAGCCCCAGCTTCCTTGTCGAGCCTCCAATGGTTCCTGATCACAGAAGGAATGTTGATCCTTGTCATCCGAATTGTGCATCACCTTCAGACCTTCAAAAGCAAGAGCTAGTAACTCTTCAGGCCACAGAAACCTCAGCTCTTTGACAAATCATGCTCAGCCTATCATGTCCCAGAAACTCTCTCTCCCTGCTGTGTCCTCAAGGAAGTGGGGAGTCATTTCTCCTTTGTCCTGCATGTCTCTAACATTCCTAGAAGGCACGGCTCCCGCTGCAAGTGCTGTGAATGCTGCTGAGAGCCTTCCTGTGTTGGGGACGGCTCTTTTATTTTTGAGAAGAAAAAAGGTGTGTTGTGTATATAGAGACAAATACACACGTAAAGGCATATAGCTATATGTAAAGTGTTCTATGACATAAGAAAATTACGGAAAAAGTTAGATTTTATCTAAAGCACAGTTAGATCCAGGACCTAACGCTGAGGTCTAAACCTCCAAAAAAAAAAAAAGATTGAAGAATCCCTTCCCTCCCAGAGGTGGGCCTAGCTGCTGGTATAGTGCCTTCAACAGTTGTGTTGCTCAGTGTGTGTTTGTTTTGAGGATTTTTTTCTTTTTAAGTGTCTTTCTTATATAGGTTTAAAGAGAGGTAATAAAAGCTTGTTGCAAAAGTGATTCAAATTGGATACTTCTCCCCTGAACATTTCTGGGGAGAGAGAGTGGGTCAGAGAAGGGCAATGGTTCATGGACTTTCTTTACCAGTCAGCGAAGTGTCCAAATGCCTGGACTGGAGGGTACTGCTCCTGTGACTGGCCACTCTCCATCTCCCCAGAGCCGGTGTGGAAAGAGGACTTAGTTAGAGAGATGCTGAGTTGAAAAGAGGATGGGCTTTCTGGAAACCAGGAGAATGGGGCAAGCTACTAAAGCAGCAGTGACTGCTCTACCTCTGGAATGATCCAAACTCAGGATAGAGTTGAGATCACTTCACCTGGAGGAAGGTGGCTAGATCCATAAGCGTTTAGTCCCTCTCTCCAGTATCTCAGTAATCATGGAAATGACATGAAAGTCATTAAAAAGGAGTTCCTGGTGTCCTTCTAGAACTGAACACACGTATACAGAGACTGACATTCTGTGTGGGCCTGTAGGATAAGCAGTGAACTGCTAACTGCAATGTTGGTGATTCAAACCCACCAGCTGCTCCTCAGAAACCATATACAAGGTTGCTGAGTTGAACTGACTTCAGTTGGGGACATTCAGCTGTCCATTTCCTCATAGGGCACAACACCCATCCCACAGCCATTAAAATTATCCAAGAAAATGGCACATCTGTAACATTAGTTCACCCAGACCTCCAAGAAGTGCACCTTCCAAGAATTTTGTCAAAGCCTAGAAATGAACCAAAGTTTATGTTTTTGCAGCATGGGATTAAAATTTCAGAGCTGTACATTTGATCTTGTTATATTAGTACACAGTGAACAGTCCGCTGCCTGGCCTTGCTCGCCTTGCCTTCTCAAAGGTATACAAGGTGGTGTTCTTGGTGTTCACAAGGGGAAAGGGAAGAGGATTCAATGCAAACATGTCACCATTACTGGGAAAATTACTCAGCACAGGCTTTGACGGCATTGTGTCAGAGCCATATTTGGGGCTAAACCACTGAAGTACATAAATCTCTGTTTCAGCCCAATCCCACCAATTACTGGCTTTGTGTCTTTAACAGGGATTATCAAGGGAAGACATTACCACTTTGAGCCTCTTAATTCCTCCAAGAGTGAACAAAACACATCAAGTTTGCGAGAGAGCTTTCTAAAGTAGTGCATGTTATCAGTACTCATGTAAAGGCTGTATTTCATGACTGTTCTTTGTGCTCATTCCTGCTGAGTCAGCCAGCTCATGGCAACCTTGTGTATAACAACACAACGCTGATGTTGTGCTTGAGTCTAATGCTGTGGGTGTGTATCAGTCCACCTCACTGAATGCTCCCATTGCTTTGGCTGGCCTGCTGTTTGACCCATCATGATGACCTTTTTATAAATCTTGCCATCTTTGCTTCTAAGGAGCATTTGGTTATATTGCATTACTACTATACGTATATTTGGAGTCCTGGTGTGGTGCTGTGGGTTAATGCACTGAATTGCAAAGTTGGTTTGATCCGCAAAGTTGGTGGTTCAAGGTCACCAGCTGCTCTGAGGAAACCCTATTCAGGGTCGCTATAGTTTGCAGCCGACTCGATGGCACTTAACAGCAACCATACATACATACACTGGAGTCCTGGTGTGGTGCTGTAGGATCGGCAGTGGACCACAAAATCGGTTTGAATTGTAAGGCTAGAGGTTCAAAACCCACCAGCCACTAGTTGGAAACCATGAGGTGGAAACCCTGCGAGTCGGAACCAACTTGATGGCGCTAACAACATACATATATTGTTAGAGTCTTGGTTGTTGTAGATAAGCACTGGACTACTAACTACAAGGTTGGCAGTTTGAACCCACCAGCTGCTTCTCAGAAACTCTATACAGGGTCTCTATGAGTCAGAAATGATTTTGATGACACTTAACAACAATACATACATTGTCAGGAGAAAGATGAGACTGCTCCCGTAAAAATTTACCATCTCAGAAACCCTAAAGGACAGTTCTACTGCCCTCCAGGGTCACTATGAGTCGGCATTGATGATGACACTGGGTTTGGTTTTTGTAGACATGTATTGTACTCCCTCAGATCAAGCATGAGCTGTCCAAATACTTTGTTGTAATAGAATCCTATTTAGAGGTCAGTTTTTAAACTCCCTTTTGTTGTTCAGTGAGTTTATGGTTGGATAGATAGGACTGGTGAAATTAAGGATTTCATTATGGCAAATCCCAAGTGGGACAGCCTGCTCTGGGAATGTAGGAGGTGTCATGGACACATTTCTACACCTACACTGTTCTCTCTTCTCAAACCACAGAACAGGGTCTGTTCAGTGGTTCTGAATCTTTTTGGCATCAAGGTATCCCTTAGGGAATTTGACAAAGCATGAATCATCTCTCAGAAAAATGGTCACCCAAAATCTTACACATCATTTCAGGGAGTTCATGCCCCTCCCCATTCCCCATGAACCCCAGATGAAGGGGTTTGATGCTGAAGAAGCATTTGTTGTGTAAGAGTCTGTGCTATTGCAAATCTGTCATCTCGGAGCCACATCACAAAGTGACCACTTGTGGTGGCAGCATGCCAGAGCTGGGGAAGAATCCCTGTCACACAAACACCCGTTTCCTTGTGGGCTTCTATTGTTGCATTTCTAGCTAGCCTAAATTCTAGTGCAATTAAGGGCCGATTCTTTCTTCTGCTGCCTGAATTGATGACAGGGAACAGCTGGGTTGTCTCCTATCTGAATAACCCTTTAGAGACATGAAGGAACTATTTTTGGCTTGGGGGTTAATTACTTAGAAGGAACAGATGAGCAAGAGGCTATGGAATAGTTGGTCGAGATGCTTTAAAAACAGGAAAACCCATCTGCCTGAACTTGAGAAGTGGCTGTCCTGCTTTGAAAGCTCTGGGAGGAACTAAATCATTAAAACCACACGAATGGAAAAGGCACTTCACTGTCGATTTAAAATGCTTCTGGCTTTGAAACTTAGTGCAGCATTTCAGCTAAGTGGAGGAAACAAAAAGGAAACCAGATTTAGGTTTTAATAAAAATTTATTTTTGGTAAAGAATTATATTTCTTATTTGCAAAAGCTGAAAACGCACATATAAATTAACAGCCCCAAGCTTGGATTTCTACTGGATCCACCGCATAAAGTATGTCTGTCACTTCTTCTTGCCCGGTTTGGGGGCTTTTTCGAGGCCTTGGATGTGTTTTCGAGGGAGTTGATATTCCTCTGCAATTAAACAGCAGAAAACCCCTCAATGGAACACCCCAGATCCCCATCCTGCTGCCTCTCCAACCCTCCAACCCTGGCCTTATCACCTCACTCAGTGGCCCTGGTCCCACAGGCCACCATTCTGTACAGCTAACCTCCTAGCCCATCGCAGCCTTACAGGGGGCTCATGCCTGCTGTCAAGCCATTCCCTGCGTTCCTCTAAACTCGGCTCCTCAGGGAAGGAGGGGGCTACTTCTCTCTGTACCTCAAGACGGAGGTGTTTTGGCAATTTCTGCCGTGATAACCACTCCTTAGGTGTAACGCAGACATTTATAGTGTTCTCCTGAGAGACCGTAGGTATATATGCCTAGGTTCAACCATGTATACTTCTCTGTTCCTCTGTATTGCTTCTCAGCACCTGACTGGAGTACTCAGAAAGGAGCTAAACCTTAAATTGTGGGTCCTGCCTTGGGCCACACCGAATATGCTAAGTGAGCATTTACAACGTGTCAGGCACTGAGACTGAGAAAAGGAGGGCGAATGAGGCCAGTCTGTGCCCTCAAGGAGCTGAGTTTAACATGGGGTTCAGACATCAGGGAAAATTAACTCTGCTGCAGACAAAACCAAAAAGAAAAACATTACTGAAAAGGGCTATGTTAGCAATTTTTTAAGCGCTAGTTTAGGGGAACACAGGAAAAGTGAGACATGTTTTAAGGTTGGCTTCATGGGACTCCTGAGCTGGGCCAATGATTCTTTAGGATCAGGCAGACTCTGGCACATGTGGAGAGCACTAGGGGAGGGAAGGGCCCAAGCAGACGTGTGCATGTGAGGGTGCACATGAGAGATCTGGGAGCCTGAGGGAGAGCAGCATGGCCTAGGCCCGCCCGAGACACAATGGAAAGGGGGCTGCTTAGGGAGTTTAGGGATTGATTCTGAAAGCATGGAAGAAACAACGTTTTTGAGAGGGACTGATGTGACCACATTTGTTTTAGAAAGCTGACCCAGGCAGAGATGTGGAGGACAGTTTATACTGAGGACAAAGTACAGGCTGGGAGACTGGGGTTGGTGAAAAGAACTCAAGCTACGGAGTCTGACAACGTGCTGTTCAGAGCCCAGCTGCAAGCACTCAACAGACGAGTTCAGGGCAAGTTACTGAACCTCTCTCGACCTCAGTTTCCTCATCTGCAAAACTGAGCTAATCGTTCCACAGTGTCGTTAGGATCAAGCCCAGCAAGGTGCCTAGCACAGTGGAGATGTTCAACAAGTGTCTGTAAAGGGAAGCTCAGGAAGAAAGGTACTTTATTACTCGTATGGTGGAGAGAGCTCTGAATGGGGGTTGGAGGGAGTGGGGGGTTGTCAGAGGACGTGGCCCAAACACAGACTCCACCTCTTGCTACCTGGCAGCAGCATGTCCTTACCCTCTCACTTCCCTCATCTGGGAGATGAGAAGAGCCCCCATCCCATGGCCCCCCCAGGACTGCAGAGTCTGGGATAGAACCTGGTGAAAATGACATGAGGAGCTTAACCAAGTTAATGGGAAAATTCCATGATCTTTTCATTGCATTCTCCCTCTAACTCTGAGAAGCTCCTGTTGTTGTTAAATGCCGTCGAGTCAGTTCTGACCCATAGCGACCCTGTACAGGGTTTCCGAGGGTGTAAATCTTTACGGGAGTAGAAAGCCTCATCTTTCTCCCACTGAGAAGCTCCTATGTCTGTAATAATGAAGCAGTGTCATGACAACTGGACTTAGGCGAGTTGGCAGGAAGATCTTGCCAGCCAGACCAGTGCCTCTTCTTCTCTGAGGGGCACTCACCGAGCAGCAGCCGGCCGACGTGGTGAACCTGGTTTCCCTGAATCTGCACCTGCAGGCTGTCCTTGGTCCCAGGGGCAGGAGACACGGTGGTGCTCGCCTGGCACCGCTGTTGGAGAATGGCAGCCACCGAGCTCGGGTCTAGCCCATAGGCCTCCAAGTTCCGCACCACAGTCACCTGAGAGTGGGGACAGAGGTCAGACGGTGGGTGCAGAACACAGGTCCCTCCCTTCTACGGCGCTGCCCAAGGCCTTCTAGACAAGCTACCTCTATGTTCTCTGATGGTTCACCATGCCTATAATAATGATACCTTTTCATTTAAATAATTTACCTCTGCATTTCTAAGTTAAGTCAGTGTACCCCACCCAATATATGTGTTAGATTGTTGTTGTTATTAAATGCCGTCAAGTCGGTTCCAGCTCATAGTAACCCTGTATAGGGTTTCCAAGGAGCGACTTGATGGGTTTGAACCTCTGACCTTGCAGTTCAAACTGACCTTTGCGGTCAAGTGCTTATCCTACAGCACTACACCAGGACTCCTGATTAGATATCCCAGCCAATATCACACATACTTTAAAAAAATGTTTTACAATGGGGAATTTAAAATAAAAATACAATAGAATAATATAATAACCCCCTCATGTAGCCACCATCTATCTAGTCTCAACAATTATGAACTCTTGGTCAACCTTGATTTATCCATATCCCAACCACACCTTGTTCCTCTATTACTTTATAGCAAAGACATCAGATCACTTCATCTGTAAATGTATTTCCAGGTAATCTCTAAAAGATAAGGGCTCTTTAAGCCTAAGAACAAAAGCATTATCACCACTAAAAAGTAAATTAGCATAATCAACAGGTGTGCAATCAGCACATGCATTTTTTCTCTTGCTCATTAACATCACAAATAAGTGTGTGACTTCGAGGTAAGAAAGTAAAATATAAATGCTTCTAACAAAGCATAATTCTTTCCTTTGCCTTAAAACAAGTTTTCTTTCATTCATGAGTAGAGAGAATAAAAGGTTACCATCGGGGTGGCTGGGAGGGTTGCTATCAATAAAGTCTTCAAGGCTCCAAATAATGTCAAGGGACTCCAAATGCAGATAAATTAGAATAAGTAGGAAATGAGGGGTCATATCTATGCCAATCTCCTACCTGATGCAAGGATGAAATCATATCCACCCCCCCCAATAAATGGTCACCTAATCTTTGCTTGAAAACTTCCCGGAAATAATTCACTATTTTATGAAGCACCAATTTTGATGTACAATTTCAATTCTGGACAATTCTAATTGTCATTATAAAACAATTTAAAATTATAAAATATAAAACAAGTTCAAGTAAACAAATATACAAGGGGAATTCAAAAAGTTCATAAAAAAAAAAAAAACAATGAAAAGATAATTTTTCCATGAATATTTTTTTAATGCACTCTCATACACAGAGTCCTGGTGTGGCGCTATGGGTTAATGCTCCAGACTGCAAAGCCGTTTGAACTGGTGGTTCAAGCTCACCAGCTGCTCCTCGGAAACCCTGTAGAAGGTCACTATGGGTCGGAATCGACTCGACGGCACTTCACAACAATAACAACTCATACACAGAAACTGCTTAGTACAGTGCTCGTCATATAATTTAAAATGCATGAAGAGTGGCTACTGCTAATCATCTTTAAGGTTATAATTACTGTTGACATTTTGAACGCTTATCTGCCAGTACTGTTCTAAGTGCTCACCCATGTGGAGTCCTTCATGGACTCTCACAAAACCCTAAGACGTAGGTATTACCTTCATTTTTAATGTAAGGAAACTCAGGCAATATATATACATATATATATATATTCAGTATACAATGACAGACACCATAGTTCAATAGAATAGTAGAGTTGAAAACCCAGAAGTAAACCCAAGCAGTTACGGACAGCTGAGCTTCCACAAAGGGTTGGGTTAGACTTTCATGGGGAAGAGGCAGTCTCTTTACAAAGGGTGCTGAACCAACTGGATATCCATTTGCAGAGAAAGGAATATATAAGATCCATACCTCACACCATACACAAGCACTAACACAAAAATGATCACAGATCTAATGAAACGATGAAGTGCCTGAAAGATAACAGGAACAAAGCTAGGGCTCCTAACTTATGGCACAAATAGATCACCAAATATAACTGAAAATACACAAACAACAGACGATAAATTAGATCATCTAAAATCCAGGAGCCTTGGTAGCATAGTAGATTGCACGCTGGGCTGCTAACTGCAAGGTCAGCAATTTGAGTCCACTAGGCACTCCTCCAGAGAAAGATGAGTCGTCCTGCTCTCAAAAACATTTACAGCCTCGGAAACCCTATACAGGGACGCTATCAGTTGGAACACCACCACCACCACCACCACCATGCTCATAAAAAAACTTTACCAAAAGAGCAAAAGAAAAATTAGACTAGGAAAACATTTTTGGCAATGATATATTGAGCATGGGACCGATCTCTAAAATGGAGTCCTGGTGTGGCACTGTAGGATAAGCACTTGACCACTAGGTCAGTTTGAAATGCAAGGTTGGTAGTTCAAACTCACCAGTCGTTCCTAGGAAACCCGATATAGGGTCACTATGGGTCGGAACTGACTCAACAGCACTTAACAACAATCTCTAAAATACATAGGAAACCTTAATATTTTAACAGTAAAGAAACACTAAAACCAATAAAGAGTGTGTAAAGCACATGAATATAAACTTCAAAGAGACAGTCAGGCAACTAATAAACACATGAAGCGAAGTTCACAATCATTAATCACTAGAGAATTCTAGATCAAAACTGAGATTCCATCTCATCCCTATAGAAATGGCACTGAGCAAAAAACAAACAGAAGACAGCTAATGCTGGAGAGGTTGTGAGGAGACTGGAACTTTTATGCACTAATGATGGGATCAGGAAATGGCATATGTACTCTAAAAGCTATAAACAGAAGTACCATATGATCCAGCAATCTAGATGTACGTCCTAGAGCAATCAACGCTGTGGCACAAACAGACTCACGCTCAGCCGTGCTCACTGCGGCGTTAGTCACAACAGCAAAAAAATGGAAACAACCTAAACATCCACCAACAGAAAACTGAAGAACCAAAATGTGGCACATGCATACTGTAAAATAAAATAGTGCCTCATGATAAACAGTAAAGATGAGTCCATGAAACAACATGGATGGATCTGGAAAACAACACACTGAGTGAAATCAATCACGAAAGGACAAATATAGTATGAAACCACTTTTATGAAGTAAAGAGTTAAGTTTATACACAGAGAGCAACTTTCTTTAATGGTCACCAGGGATGGTACAGAGAAAAAGGGAGACTCGGTAACTAGCTAATACAGGTGTTAATTCTGGTGAAGGAAGACAACACACCATCCGAAGGAAGGCAGCACAATATGACCAAGGTAAAGGAAGACACTGAGAGGCATGCAAGAATAAAGGACAGCGATGGTAAATGCCACAGGATCACTGGCTGTAATGGCAGGGAGTTTCGTTTTGTTTCTGCTAAATGCTATAACAGGTATAATTCTACTACAACAGGGTTGATGTGGGAGTTTATGCAATATGTAGATGTAGATAGACAAGGAACTCTGGTAGCGTAGTGATTACGAATCGGCCTGCTAATCTCATGGTCAGCAGTTCGAAACTACCAGCTGTTCAGTGGGAGAAAAAAGAGGCTTTCTGCTCCTGTAAAGATTTACAGCCTTGGAAACCCTGTAGAGGGTCGCTATGAGTCAGAACCAACTCCACGGCACATCACAACAACAACATATGTAGACAGAGTTGTGGGCATCTATAAGAGGGATATTCCAAAAGTTCAAGGAAAAATGGAATTAAAAGATAATGGAATTTTTCCACAAACATTTTGAAGTTCCCTCTTAAATAAATACTTACATATGCTGCATATATATTCAAATATATAATAGAGGGAAACAGTTATGGAAATTTCCTTTGTTGTTGTTAAGCGCTGTTAAGTCCGTTTTGACTTATAAGAGTTCTGAGGAGCAGCTGGTGGGTTTGAACCACCGACCTTATGGTGAGCAATCCAGTGCTTACCCTACCGTGCTATACCAGGAAACTTGCTAGGTATATCCAAATGCTTCATGGGACTGGATTACTGGGTTTTAAGGCACAGGACCACACTTTGGGGGGCCACTAAGTCAGCTGGCATAACCAAGTTCATACAGATAATGCTCTACATTCTAACTTGGAGAATAGTGCCCAGGGTTTTAAAAGCTGTGAGTGACCATCTATTAGTCTCTCTTCATCTGAAGCCAAAGGGAAGGAAGGAAACCCAAGACTCAATGAGTCTACAGTGCATACAGCCATACGAACCACAGTCTTCTCTAAACCAGTGGCTACCACCACTGACTGCTCACATCAGGGACCCAAAAGCAGAACAAAACTATAATTCATAGAAAACACCAGACATACCGGACTGTTAGGACATTGGAAACTCTTTCCCTTTAACCTGAAACTGAAGACACTACTGGAGGTCATCTCTCAGCCAGATAGTAGACGGGCCTATAAAGTAAACACTAACACCAGCAAGGAAGGAAAAATGTGTCTGACTGGAATGTACACCCACTAAATACTAGTTGTTGTGCTGTGGGTTAATGCACTGGACTACAAAGTTGGTGTGAACTGCAAGATCGGTGGTTCAAGCTCACTAGCCACTCCTTGAAAACCCTATACAGAGTCACTATGGGTCAGAACTGACTCAATGACACTTAACAACAACAACAAATCCAAGTTGGGAGTCATGCTGTGGCACTGTGAGATAAAGCACTAGACTGCAAAGTCAGTTTGAATTACAAGGTCAGCATTTCAAACTCACCAGCTGATCCTTGGAAACCCTATACAGGGTGGCTATGAGTCGGAACAGACTCAATGACACTTAACTACAATAAATCCTAGTCTGTCTTCTTAAGCATACAAAATAAGTGTACTCCCTTTCAAGGGGACCGCTGTTCACATTATAGAGTAGATGTAATTTGTTTCCTAGGACTTCTTGTTGCCAGGCTAACTATTCTCAGATCTTTCTGCAATTATTTACAAGTTATTTTGCTTGAACAAAGCCCAAGAGGTAATAGGATTTTTAAGAGCTGAAAGTCCATAACACAGTTCTGAGAAGAAAAAGAAAACCTTGTTAACTTTTGGAAACATGCTTCAGCAAGTTTCCAAACACAAAATCCTAGAGGGCGAAGTGGGCCCAGCCCAGTCACATAAGTATGGCTGTTTGAGGCCAATGTAAACACCTCCGATCATGTTCACATTCAGTAACATGAAATCATCATCCTCAAACATTGTGGCTTTAAAAATTACCTTTTTATTAGAAGCTCTCTGTGCAAGGGTGATGTCAATTGGACAGATCTTCCCTTTCTTCACAATGGGCTCTTGTCCAGGGAAGACCACTTGGTAGGCAGGCTGTAGTTTCTCCAAACATCTGCAAGAAGGGAGTTAGTGAGGAAGACTGACAAAGCCAGATGATGGAGTCCCCATTTACTCATGACCCACAACCCTCAAGCCCATAGGTATAAGCTGGTCTTGCAGGGCAGGGGCTCACAGTATTGGCTGCACACCACCGAGACAGTTCTGACTTATGGCAACTTCATACATAGCAGAATGAAACGCTGCCCGGTCCTCTGCCACCCTCCTAATCGTTGCCATGTCTGAACCCATTGTTTTGGTCAGTGTTGATCCATTTCAGTGAATGTGTCCCCCATTTTCATGACCTCTGCTTTACCAACCATGATGCTCTTTTTTTAAAAAATGTTTTATTGTGAATTATGTGATAGTTTATTGTGAATTACATGATAGTTTATTGTGAATTATGTGATAGTTTACATGGGAGAACATTAGCTTCACATTCATCCTATAGTTTCAATCCCCTCCATCAACCAACCAAAGGGTATACACTACAAGCCTGCACCCTGGTCATCAGCACACAGCCCCTCTTCCTCTCTGGGTCTAGAATTCCCAGCCGCTCCATCTCTCTATGTCCCATGATGCTCTTTTATAGCAATTGGTCTTTCCTAATGACACGTCCGTGTCGTAATGTGCTGGCTTGTGTGTTGTTGTGATGCTGGAAGCTAGGCCACCTGTATTTTAAATACCATCAGGGTCACCCGTGGTGGAGGGTATCAGTGGAGAAGTGGACCCCTTCTGAATGACTAGCCACTAAAAACCTCATGAAGAGCAGCAGAACACTATAACATATAGTGGCAGAAAACGAAAACATTATGAGTAGTACCAGCATATTGTCAGTTACAGTGCTGGGAGATGAGGCCCTCGGGTTGAAGAGCTGCCATCACAAAGTGGACTTGACCTTAATAATGTGGATGGAGTTAAACTTCCAGGACCTTCATTTGCTAATGGAGCACAACTCAAAATAAGAAGAAACAGCCGCAAACATCCACAAATAATCAGAATTGGAATGTACGAAGTATGAATCTAGGAAAATTAAAAGTTGTCAGAAGTGAAATAGAATGCATAAGGATCAACATCCTAGACTCTAGTGAACTCAAATGGACTGGTATCGGTCTTTTTTTTTTTAATCATTCATTTGAATTATGGTATTGGCAAAGAATACTGAAAATGCCATAGAATGACAGAAGAACAAATAAATCTATCTTAGAAGTACAACCAGAATGCTCCTTAAAGCAAGGATGGTGAGACTTTGTCTCTCATACTTTGGACATATTGTCAGGAAGAACCAGTCCCTAGAAAAGGATACCATGTTTGGAAAAGTGGAGGGTCAGTGAAAAAGAGGCAGACCCCATCAAGGCCAGCAGTGTTTCATTCTGCTATGCACAGGTTCACTATGAGTCAGAGCCAACTCAATATCAGCTAATAACAACAGCACCAACTTATTCAATGCACATACCTTTTGACAACAACATAAAAGTTAACGATAAACCTGACCCTCACCAGATGGAATACACAGGAATCAAACTTACTACACCTGTGAAAAGAAACAATGAAAAAGCTCCATATCATCAGCCAAAACAAGGCTGGGGAAGACTGTAGAACAGACCATCAACTGCTCATATGCAAGTTTAGGCTGAAGCTGAAGAAAATGAAAACATGTCCATGAGAACCAAAATAGGACCTTGAGCATATCCCACCTGAATTAGAAACCATCTCAAGAACACATTAGACACTGATGACCGAAGACCAGGATGTAGGATGACATCAAGAACATCAAACATACAGAAAGAAAAAGGACAGGAAAAGGATAGGAAAAAAAAGAAAAGACCAGAGTGGACGTCAGAAGAGACTTTAAAACTTGCTCTTGAGAATAGAGAAGCTAAAGTGACTGAAGAAATGATGAAGTAAAAGAGCCAAACAGAAAAGTTCAAAGGGCAGCTGAAGAAGACAAAATCAAGTATTATCATTAAATGTGCAAAGACTTGAAGTTAAAAGACCAAAAGGGAAGAACATGCTCAGCATTTCTCAAGTTGAAAGAACTGAAAGATTCTATATTGAATAACACTAGAAACATCAAAAAGCAGCTCTGGTAGCATAGTGGATTACAAGCTGCTGACCATAGGGTGAGTAGTTCAAATCAAAAGAAGATGGAAGGAACATTCAGAGTCACTGTACCAGAAATAACTGGTTGATGTTCAGGCATTTCAAGAGGTACCAGATGATCAAAAATTGATGGTACTGAAAGAATTAGTCCAAACTGCACTGAAGGCAGTAATGGAAGACAGGGCTCCAGGAATTAATGGAATACAAATTGAAATCTTTCCACAAGCTGATGAGGCACTAGAAGGGCTTACTGATCTATGTCAAATCGGAAGACAGTTGACCTGACTAACTGATTGGAACAGATCCACATCTGTGCCCATTCCAAACAAAGGTGACCCAACAGAATGCAGAAACCATTGAACAATACCATTAATTCCACATGCAAGCAAATTTTGCTGGAGATAAAATTAAAAATGAGAGTAGCAGTACACTAACAGGTAGCTGCCAGAAATGTAAGCATGATTCAGAAGAGGATATGGAATGAGGGGTATCTATACTGACATCAGAAGGATCTTGGCTGAAAGCAGAGGATACCAGAAAGATGTGTACTTGTGCTTTATTGACCATGTAAAGGCACTGGACTGTGTGGATCATAAACTATGTGGATCAACAAACTATGGATAACATTGTGAAGTATGAGTATTCTGGAACACTTAATTGTGCACATGAGGAACCTGTACATAGTCCAAGAGGCAGTTGTTACAACAGAACAAGGAGATACTCAATGGTTTAAAATCAGGAAAGGTGTGTATTAGGGATATAGCCTTTCCCCAAACTTATTGCACTTCAGTGTAAAGCAAACAAAAAAATCCTTGCAACTAGACCAATACATAACATCATGATACATGGGGAAAAGATTGAAATTGTCAAAGACTTCATTTTGCTTGAATTCACAATCAACAGTCATGAAGCAGCAGTCAAGAAATCAAATGAATTGCTAGACAAATCTGTTGCAAGAGACATATTTAAAGTGTTCAAGAGCACAGATGTCAGTTTAAGGACTAAAGTGCACATGACCCAAGCCAAGCTATTTTCAGTCGCCTCATAAGCATGTGAAAGTTGGATAACAAATAAAGAAGACTGTAAAAGAATTGACGCATTTAAAGTATAACGTTGGCAAAGAATATCTAAAGTACCATCGACTGCCAGAAGGACGGCACTTAACTTCAACAACACTTTAAACTCAGTGAGCCGAAGTCTTGCAATCCTTGCTTGTAAGGAGCAAGAATTCTGGTTGTATTTATTTTAAGACTGGTCTATTTGTGCTTCTGGCAGTCCTTGGTATATTCAATAGTCTTTGCTAACACCGCAATTTGAATGCACCCATTCTTCTTCTGTCTACCTTCCACATGCATGAAGCTGTTGAAAAGACCATGTTTTATGTCAGCTTCACCTTAGTCATCAAAGTGATACCTTGGATTTTTAACACAAAAGGTTCCTTACCACAAATGTGTTCAATGAAATACACTGTTCGGTTTCCTAACCTCTACTTGATGGCCACTGATTGTTGATCCAGACAAAATGAAATCACTGACAGCTTTAATTTTTTTCTCCACTTATCTTCAGGATATTTATTGGTCTGGCTACACATCATAATTTTAATTACCTATATCAACTCTAGACCAATTAAATAAGAATTTCTGGAGGTAGGATCCAGGCAGAGATTTTTTTTTTGGAATGTTTTATTGTGAATTATGTGAGTTTACATGGGAGAACATTAGCTTTACATTCATCCTATCGTATATCATCTCATTGCCATGGTTACAATCCCCTCCATGCATCATCAACCAACCAAAGGGTATACCCTGCAAGCCTGTCATCAGCACACAGCCCTCTCCCTCTCTGGGTCTAGAGTCCCCAGCTGCTCCATCTCTCAACGTCATCGTCTCTGCCTCCATCTCTGGAGTCACTGCTTCCAGGTAGAGATATTTTTACAGCTCTCCAGATGATTCCAAATTACAATCAAGGTTGAGACCCAGTGATACAGAGAAGGAACATGAGTGACTTAAGCCCCGGGAGGCTGCCCAATGGCCTCTGTCTTCTGAGAGTCTGGCCAGTCTGCTGTGTGAAGGCTATTCTACCTGTCTCAAAAATTAATGCCTCCAGAGGGCCTGGAGGAAGGTAGAATCTCCAGTGAGTAGTACTCAATCTGACTAGGCGGGGCTAATGCAACGAAATGCAGACGGGGCTCTTGTGATACAACAGTGAATAATTGTTATCAGGACTGATTGTGAGGGTCGGAAATGTAAACGTAGACGTTTTAAAGCAAGGAGGGAGTGATTAACTTTTCAGTCTAGGAGTGGAGGTCCCTAGGACCATCAAGGGAGAAGAGCAGGGAGCAGGACCCTACCCAGAGAAGCAGTGATGCCTGAAATGGAGCCAGAGATGATGACGTGGAACGATGGAGCAGCTGGAGACTTTAGATCCAGAGAGGGAGAGCTGTGTGCTGAAGACCTGGGGGGTACATGGGGAAGGATTGCATGGAGGGGATTGTAACCATGGCAATGAGATGATATATGATAGAATGAATGTAAAACTAATGTTCTCCCATGTAAACTATCAAATAATTCACAATAAAACATTAAAGAAAAAAAAATTCATGCCTCCAAGGACTGCTTCAATTTATGGCACATCGCAATTATTAATTGACTTTACCACAAGCAATTTCTACCTGCTATCTAACCAAGTTGCTATGCATGGGAGCTGACTCGATGGCATGTAACAACAATCATGTATACTAGCATCAGCAAACTTTTTCCTAAAGGGCCATAATAAATATTTTAGGCTTTATATATTATCTGGTCTCTACTGGAACTATTCAAGTCTGCCAATGGAGTACAAAAGTAACCACAGACAATACATTCCTGAATTTATATGGCTGTGTTCCAATAAAACAGATTTGGTCCACAGGCTATAGTTTGCCTACTCCTGATAGAAATCATTTTAAATTATGGTTCTGTAGAAAAGGAGTATTAAACATTTATCCTTTGAAGACTCTAAGACGACCTCCTTATTTTGCTTCTAAATCTTTTTGAAATTATTTTTAATCAATATCCCTTTTTTTTTTCATCCTCTCATGTTCTCCTAAGCTGTTTTGACTCAAGTTGTACCAATTTAAGAATTAGTCAAGGCTGTATTTACACACAGCATGGATTATGGAAAGAATTTCAGAGACGAGGATATTGACAATTTAGAGTTCAATGCAACACAAAGATATTAAGGAGAGGGAACAGAGAAGTTCCCAACCTGTTACCTGGTCAGGAGACTATCCCATGGGAGCTTCAGGACTGCATGCTGTTCATTTTTCTCCAAGATGCAGTCACACAGGATGGGATCCAACTTCACGAAGCTAAATGGGAAAGTAGATGTGAAGGAAATGTAATACACACCTGTTTTGATCCAATGGCCAACTCGGGGTTCATCTCTTTTTATGTTTTTTATATTCACTTGGGTCACAATCAATTATGGGACCACTATATGGACAAGTGGGGAGTCCTTGTGTGGTGCTGTGGATTAAGCGCCAGACTGCAAAGCCGTTTGAACTGCAAGGTCAGCGGTTCAAACTCACCAGTCACTCGTCGGAAACCCTGTATAGGGTTGCTATGGGTCAGAACCAACTCGACAGCACTTAACAATAACAATTTGGACAGGTGAAGCTTTCTGCTCCCATAAAGATTTACAGCCTTGGAAACCCTGTACAGGGTCGCTATGAGTCAGAACTAACTCCACAGCATATAACAACAACATATGGACAGGAGGCACACACAAGTTTTCCTAGAAGAAGTCAACTGTGTGTGATGGGCTAAATCAGGAGACCAGGATCCTTGATTAAGTTCTGCTACTAACTGACCATGAGCTCACAGGCAATTAGAGTCCTGGGCTGTCTCAGAGAAGCTAGGAAGAGGGGAGGATCTATAATAGGGGAGGGAGGAAATCTATCAAATGAGGTATTAGATTAGACCAGAAGTTCTAAACTCTTTGATCATATGGATGTCTTTTTAAAGTAAGAAAATTAATGGAACCCTTTATTCATGAGTTGAACTTCTACAATGCCAAGAATACCAAACAGCTATAATGATGTCACTTAAATTTAAAAAATAAGCCTGCATTTTATGCCTCACAATAGCATCTGCATTGGGAGACTAGTAATAGACATATGTGCACATATGTCTAGAGTCAATGTCTGCAACACAGATGAATCAGAACGCCCTAAGCAGTAACTCTGCCACAGGATAAGCGCTTGACCTAAAGGTTGGTCTGAACTGCAAACTCGGTGGTTCAAGCTCACCAACCACTCCTTGGAAACCCTATGCAGGGTCAATATGAGTGGGCACTGACTTGACGGCACATGGTTTTCTACCCTCCCTCCCTCCTGGAGGTCCTTCATACATGTGCATTTGTCTGCTAGATTCATACCGAACAAGGCCAACAATGGCTCTCTGCCTCACGCACTTACTTTTTGTTGTCTGCATCCACTAAGTCATTTTTCTTCGCGTAGTTAATGATGACTGTTCGCACCTCACTGGCCTCGAGGAAGCTCCCCTTCCTAGTGAGAAGTGAGCAGGGTTAGTTCATGCTGTGCCAGAGACTGACTGCGAACACCAAGACTCTCTCCCTGCTCAGCAGGACATGTTCCTTGACTATTCAACCTGTTTTCTTCCCATTTCCTGACTGAGGGGGACAGGACAGAGTGAAGACCTGTTACAGGTAGCACAGGGAGAAACCTACTCGCTCGTTCCATTTAATTCAGAGCAGCTTCCCAGGAGAAGGCGGCCTGAAACTGGAGATGAGAGAAAGAAAGAAGAGGGAGAGGAACTGTGGGTCAGGACCCTGCAGAGAAGGGCTGCTCTCCAAAAAACTCACTTGTGGCCAGACTCCTGGAAGAGTAGGGTCATGTTGGCTGGGACACAGTAGAGGGGTTTTATATGTGGAGGGTGGTAGGGCTGGTCCCTGCTACCTTCCTGGACAGTCTGGGAGACCGGGGAGAGCTCAGGTATGACGAAAGATGTGATCCTAAAACCGAGCAGAAGGAAAGGAAAAGCACATTTTACACTAGTTCCCAGGCAATCCCCAGTCCCCAGCCAGGTGCCTGCTGAGCTTGGGATGGGCCTGTACTCACCTCGGGTGTTTCCAATCCACAGCCACGATGCTCTCCACCCCTCTGCTCAGCTCCTTCACCTGGATCACCTGCTCCTGCTGCATGTGCTGCAGGAACTTAGAGAGCTAAGGGAGAGAGGGCCAGTGGGAGGGACTGCGCACCTACCATGTGCCAGAGACCAGGCAGACACCGTGGAGGGCAACAAGACAGCCCCTGCCCTCATCACACGAGGGACTGGCAGGCCCTCACCCTGAGAGAGGGGTGAGAGAAGCTACCAACAACCAAGACGGTAAGCCTTTCGGGATTCCAGTCAGGTATAAAAAAGCCATAGCAGAGAGGAGTGGGTACCTGGCCCAAACCAGGAAGTTTCCTTTTTCCCCTCCTTTTATCTGGATAAAAAGCTTCAGTCTGGCCTGAGCCCTGCAGACAGGGCTTCCCCAGTGCCATCCCCCCACCGCCCCCCACCACCTCTGGTCATGTGTGCCTCCTCTCTGTCCATGACTTTGGGTCAGTCTGCAAAGACGGTGCCTGCTTACCTTCTTATAGCTCGACTTCTTTATATCCAGTTGTTGTCCTTCAGGGCTGGTGGCAGATAGAAAAGGCAAGTTATGCTAGCAAAGAAGTAGTGGTGAGGCCTTCCTTCCCCACTTTCAAAGAGAAGCCATTATTCCAGACCTCTCGGCCCTGAAGTGGCATTGACTAGGGATGCAGACCAGGAGGCACCAGGTCAGCGCTGTCCATTAGAGCTTTCTGTGATGGTGGACGGTTCTCTAGCTGACCTTCCCCATATGCTAACCACTAGCTACAGGTGACTGTGGCTAAAGAAATGAAATCTGTATTTGATTTCATCTTAATTAAGTAGTCACATGTGGCTAGTGGCAATCATAATTGAGCAGCTCAGTGAGAGAACATCCCATCATTCTCCATCATCGATTCTTCTCAAACTAGACAACATGGCATGGCCTCAAAAGTTCTACCTCAAGGTGGACCTTCCAACACGGAGTCCACTGTGGGCAGCCAGGCCCTAGAGCATGGTTCAGCAAAGTACATCCTGTGGGCCCAGCCTGGCTCTGCCCACTCATTGATAACACCACCCATGGCTGTGTTCAAGCTACAGCAGAGAGTCGGTGCAGTAGACATCATGGTCTGCTTAGCCTAGACGTATTTATTATCTGGCCTTTGAAACATAAAATCGTTTGCTGATGCCAGCCTTGGAGGAATTAGTTTTGTGGGGAAGGTGTCCGATGAAAATGGTATTTCCCTCTTCCCAGATCTTGTATCTTCGCTCAAAATGTGGCATACTACAGCAGTGAGAAACACAGAGATGTCTTCTAGAACCCAGCCCAAGTTAAGAATCTCTATCCTAGGGAATATTCCATGACCAAAGGCCTCACTCCTCCTTTATCAGTTACTTCCAACCCAATAAGGTTAGGACAGGTCACCAAGTATTCCAACACACTCTACATGCCACATGTGTGCAGGATGTTCAGCCCACAAGCAAACAGGAAAAGAGTAATATTAAAGTCACTTAAAAAACACAGACAAAATTCTCAAAAAGAAGGAGTTCCGTTCCAGGGCAAAAATCAAAAGGCAACTGCTTAATAAGTTTATATTAAATACTTATCTGTCAAACTACTTCATCTTTATAGAAATCTCTGAGTATTGGAAATTAGAGTAGTCTGACTAGTTAAAGTTTGCCCTGCTCAGATACCTAGAAGGGCCTGTCTTCAAAGTTCAAGTTCTGTCTACATGGAACACTGCCTTTCCTGGTGCTCTGTCTTGGGGGTTGGGTGTAGGCCTCTGGTATAATTTAATCTAACCCATCTACTTTTCAGGCGAAGTTGGGGAAGAGGGACTGGTGTTAACCATGAATGTTCTGGAGTCCTGTGGTGATGTTGTAGGAAAAGCAAATGGGCTGCGAACCACAAGATTGGTAGTTCAAACCCACCAGCAGCTCCTCATATATATTCTACAAGGTCATTATGAGTGGGATCAAACTTGACACCGCTTAACAACATCACTGAATGCTCTAGAAGCAGCTAGAACTCAATTAGGCTGTTCCTGAGACACACCCTATAAGGACATGCTGCCTGATTCATGAGCAGGAGTCCAGAACCACCACAGCATGGGTAGGTTCAGAGACCCTTGAATCCTCTGTGAACAGCCAAGGTTTGTCCTAGAAATTATAACCTTCCATTTCCTTGATATTCTTTTACTGGGGAAGATTTAAGTGTCAAAAACCCAGAACCTATTTTATTTGACAGATCAACCCTCCACTCTGCTCTTTCCACTGACCCCTGCCCTAGAGCAATCAGACACACACAATATCCACAGCATGCCCCTCAACCGATTCCCCCCATCAGCCCTATCCTCTCCTACTTCCAGGAACAAGAACAATGCCCAGTTCCTGGTCTCCACCCAACACCAGTCCCTTCCATACCAGCAGGAGAACATGTGGCTTCCAAGGAAGGTGCTGGTGAGCAAAGGCAGGTCAGCCTTTCTGACCCGGCTCTTCAAAGCATGCAAAAAGCATCGCTGTAAGAGTTTATCCATTTGCTCTGCAAAAAAAAAAAAAAAGACACAAGACACACATCCTTCCTGAAGGCTGCAGACTGCCTGGTACAAACAGAAAACTCCCCTGCTGCCCAGTCCCATCCTCTTCCTCACCTCCTGGACTCCAGAAGGAACCCACTCCCAGGTGCCAAAACTCCTAGGCTTTCTTGAGCACTGAGTGTTTTGTTGGCCCCGGGAAAGGAACCAAGCCACAAAATCCCAACAAGCTAGAAGAGTTGTCAGAGCCATTCAGAGAAGTCGGAGCCAGAAGAAATTTTAGGGGGCTCAGTAGCTGGAAACACCCCCAATGCAAGTACAGATGGGTACCCAGGGAGACATGGCATATATGGGAAGAGTCCCAGACAGGAAGTCAGCAGGCTGTTGGAGCACTCGCATCTATACAAAGGAGTCCCCTTCTGTTTCAGAGCTGCAGCGCACTTTCAGTCAGTAGCAGCAGAGCTCTCGGTTTCCTAAACTGAGAGGAGGGGGACGGGTCCTTCTGTTCCCAAAGCTATACCTTGAAGGGTCTTACTGCCTGTCGTATCTGGATTCACAGCCCCGACACTGGTATCTTCTGAAGCTTCTGACTGGGACTTCTCACACAGCTGAGGAACCTCTCCATTCTCATCTTCCTCTCCCTTCACATGCAGGCGCCTCATGTCTTCCTGTAGGGCGGGGTCCACCTGGACAGAGCCCTTCTCTTCATCGAGATCTGGGGGATCCACCGTCAGTGGAGCAATGCAAGGTGGAGAGGACTTGTCTCCAGATTTCCTGGAAAAATCTCATGTCAGACATACCAAGCAATAGAGCCATAACACTCCCAACCCATCAGAAAGAACCAACTGCAAGTTGAGAGATAGTAAGAGCCACCATGAAAGAAGACTGCGAGAGTAGAGCCTGTGCTCTCTTCTCGACTCCATTTTCAACTCTGGGTGCAGATAAGTGACATGCCTCAGTTTCCTCATCCCTGAAATAGGAAAAATAATTCTTGCCTCCTCCCTAGCTCAAAGGAGTACTACTACTAATGCACACCCTGAGATAAAGAGAGATTAAAGAAAAGGCATCAAAGAGCAGTCCCCAAAAGTATCCCTTTCATGAAGTTAAAAATCATAAAACTAGTTTGAATTAAATAATATGACCTGCATAGCATGTGTAGTACCCGTTTGTTCAAAAAAGCATTGTAACAAGAGCACAGAACGCTTTAGTAAACAAAAATATCAAAAGAAACACTCTTCCCTCCCTCCACATTTAGTGAAAAATTAGTCTTGAGAGTCAGCAACCTATATAAGGGCCTGTCTGGGACCAAAACGCTCACTTCCAAATCTCAGGCCCCAGCTGTGCTCCAGCCCCACCCTCAGGCCCTGAAACACATGGATTTCTGTGTACCCACCACAAGTGATCCTGGTAAGTGTGGAGCACAGAGATGCCCCTTCCCTTCAAGCCTGAAGTCAGCATCTCAGCTGTGGACATGACAGCAACTCCAACTGCAATGGGCGCTCTGAGAAGAAGGAGGTCAGAGACCAAGGTCAGGAAGGGCATCCGAGCAAGTCACCTTTCCACTAACATGGTAAGAGCTCTGTGGCTAAACCTGAAGTACCCACTTTTATCACAAAACTAAACTCAGTCCAGTCTCAATTTTCTCTAGATTATCTATAAGTATTCCTTTCAAAAATCCCTGGCCAAACGTTACCTTTCCATGTAAGTAACTCATCTGCTGCTGCTCTTACTGCCTTTATGTTATTCCTATTATGAGTTGAATTTAGACTCCTGGTGTGGCACTGTGGTTAATGCACTGGACTGCAAAGTTGCTTTGAACCGTAAGTTTGGCGGTTCAAGCTCACCAGTCGCTCCTTGGAAACCCTATACAGGGTCGCTATGGGCCAGAACCGACTTGACGGCACTTCACGACAGCAACAATTATGAATTAGACCCACTAGCATTTAGAAGGATATTTAAAGTTCCCTTTCTTTAATTCCAAAAACATGTATTACCTCCCCTACCTTTTCTTCTGCGGGAGGAAAGGTCTTCCCATGTATTCCCATAAAGATTGTTGTTGTTGTTGTTGTTAAGTGCTGCCGAGTCAGTTTCGAGTCACAGAAACACTGTATAGGGTTGCCAAGGAGTAGTTGGTGGGTTTGAACCACTGACCTTGTGGTTAATAGGCTAATGCTTATCCTATAGCACCATACCAGGAGTCCCATAAAGATTACAATCTAGAACGTCCTATGAGGCAATCCTATTCTGTTACATGTGTACACTATGAGTAAAACATGAACTCAACGGCACTTAACAACAACAAAACACTTTAATCAGGTGTGGCCATCCTACAAGGCATTTCAGAAAGGAAGCAGTTCCTACTCCATTAATAAGGCTGAAGGGTGGGATCCGTAAGGGAGTGGGAAAGACACACTGCAGTCAAAGAGAGAAGTTCCATCTGAGTTGGCTCTTTATAACAGGCCTTACTCCGTATAACTCTCTGGCTAAAAAGTACATGTTTTCACAACGGCAAAAGCAACTTCCAAAGCCCAAGGAAATCATTTCTACCCAGAGTTACTCAAACACTGATCACCTACTATCTGTATGGCTCGGTGTCCAGCTCACTAACAATGGGGAACACATACCCCACAAGACTGTCTGCGTCCAAGGAAAAAGATTCAAGGGCAGAGTTCCCAATACCTAATTTTTAAAAGTTTTGCTAAATCTGGTAGCTTCACTAGAATCCCAGAGGTCAGTTCCACCACTGAGACTCTGAATCTGGCTTCTCCTCCCGTTCTCAGTAAAGGGCTCTTTCCTTCCAACCCCATTAGGATCAATGACTCAAGAAGTCCAAAGTCCCAAAAACATACGTGAACGTGACTTGTAATGTTTGTGAATCCCCTTGCACCCTTACTCCTTGCCAAAAACCACATCTAGGCTCCATCCCCATCCACACTGAGGAGACCAAATACTCATTTGTTCCATTTCCTCCCAGCTCAGATAGAATACTAGAGGAAAAATAACAGCACACCATTTTTTTTTTTACTTGAAAGCTTGTAAGCCAGTCACTTCTTGCCTTTGTAGCACCCCCACCCCCACCTCATTTTGGGTAGCCAATATCCAAATTGGTCATCCCTGTCTACTTTGTATATTGAGGTCGGTGGGAATGATCCTCGCTGTAAAGATTTGCTCCCTCTTTTGAGCTACTGCATCCATAGGTGTAGGGCAAGTTGATCAAAGTGTATCAGATTACTCTTTTTTTTCCTCTTCTTTCTTCTTCTAGTTGAGCTCTGATCATCCAGCCATTGAGGCCAGGTCAAGTGGATATTATCTGCAAGTGTGGGTATTCTTGTGCTTATGCCCTCTCTTCTTATCAGCTGGATGCTTCACTCTCCACTCTAGTCCTCTGTGGCTATGTCACTGACTCTGGGCCCAAGAGTCCCCAGGTCTTGCCACACTGCTGGCCAACCAGGTCTCCACCCAGGTTCACAGGGGTCTATTGCACATTGTAGGGCTTAGCTTGCAGCTTCATTGCTGTTTTCCCCTAACTTCCCCTTATTGGTGATGAGTGTGGTCACAAAACAGAGTGTGTATTCCCATTGAGTCTTAGTCTTGGAAGGGGGTTTGCCCTGAGGGGACCTGACCACTTGCCTTGATGTCTCCTGGGCAAGCAACTTGCTTGTTCTTGTAGTAACAGTCAGTCTGCCTATATTGTTTTGTATTTTTCCTGTAGGTCTTCCTTTCAAGAAGTATATTCTGTTCTTCTACCTGCTCCAGGCTGGTCTGCTCGTCCTTTCAAGTGGAAATTTCCCATCTCTGAAGAGCCGGATGTGGTTCAGGCTTCCACCTATAGTCTTATGTAATGCAAAGGCTATGCAGGAAGCCTCCTTCACTGGGCACGTTGTAGTCCCATTTTAGGTGTTCCAATCAGTTATAGGCAGGAGACGGACTTACAAGCTTTCTATGGTGATGTTTCTGGCTATTCCTTTCTCTCCCCTTCCAGTGTCTATTTTATAATGCAAGGAAAACCAAGATTCAAAAGCTAGCCAAACATATTAACATTATTCCCCCCTTTTTCCCATTCCAACCTTGTCTTAATCTCTGTATCCGAGAGCCCTGCTGTTCCAAGGTTGTGCATACATCATTATTTACCTCTGTCCCACTTAGCCCATGCAAACCTGCCTAATTATTCTCCCATCTGCTTTGTCCTTCCATTCCCCTCTCCCTTCTTGTATATTGCCCCCCTCCCCAGCACCCAAACTATCCTGTGTCTGTTCCCTACCCTGTGCTCCATCTTCTCCTCCCTCCCCTAACTCCACCCCACCAGCAAATAATCCAGCCCCACATCCCAGCAACCAGCAAATAATCCAGCCCCCTTTAGTATGGGTTCTTTTTCTTAGTCTTTTGCAGTAGTGGTCTTATGCAGTATTTCTCCTTTTGTCACTAATTTCACTCAATATAATGTCCTCAAGGTTAATCCATGTTAAGCTGTGACTTGCAGCTTCCTTGTTATTTTTCAAGGTAGCATAGTATTCCATTGTGTATATGTACCACAGTTTGTTTATCCATTCTTAAGCTGATGGGCACTTTGGCTGCCTCCATATTTTTGCTATTGTAAATAGTGCTGCTATAAACACTGGTGTGCATAATATATCTTCTCGTGTTGTGGCTCATATTTCTTGTGGGTAAATACCAAGTAGAGGAATTGCTGGATCATAAGGTATTTCTATTCGCAACTTCTGAGGAAGCGCCATGTTGCTTTCCAGAGACGTTGGGCCATTTTGCAGTCCCACCAGCAATGCAGCAGTGTCCCAGTCTCTCCACATCCCCACCAGCATTTATTGTCCTTTACTTTTTTGATCTTTGCTGTTATTGTTGGTGTGAGATATCTCATTGTTGTTTTGATTTGCATCTCTCTAATGGCTAGTGATCGTGAACATTTCTTCATATGTTTGTTGGCTGCGCGGATCTCTTCCTTGGTGAAGTGTCTGTTCATGTCCTATGCCCACTTTTTAATTGGTTATTTGTCTTTTTCTTGTAGAGGTGTTGTATAGTTTTCTATATATTTTAGAAATGAGTCCCTTGACTGATGTGTCATTGTAAAAGGTTTTTTCCCAGTCTGTGGGTTCCCTTTTTACTCTTCTGGTGAAGTCTTTTGATGCACATAAGTTTTTAATTTTTAGTATGTCCCAATCATGTATTTTGTCTACTTTGGTTTCTGTGGTTTTCAAAATGTTTTGTAGTCTGTGTATGCCCTGAATTAGTGCCATCACATTTGTCCCTGTTTTTTCATTGAGGGCCTTCATAACCCCAGGATTCACATTTAGCTCTTTAATCCATGTTGAGTTGGTTTTTGTATAAGGTGTGAGGTGAAGGTTTTGTTTCAGTCTTTTGCATATCATTTTCCAGTTCTGCCAGCACCATCTGTT